TCAGGAGGTACGTGGGTTCTTCAACTAGGTAAATTTCTTCTTCTTCGACCTTCATTCTAATCGTGAATTCCTCCTTTAAGGGCTCACTCACCTTCCTAATCGGCTGTGCTAAGGGAATGAGAGACTAAGCGCGGAGAGGAGAGTATGGGGCGAGAGAGCGCTACAGATGAGAGATCGCCAGACAACAGCCTGATAAGAGAAAAAAGTCTGCAGCTTGGGCAGCTTACTTTGCAAGGCCCAAGCGCTCTTATCGGTTGGTTTCCGTGCACGAGAACGCCACATTTGTGATTGTCCTCTAGGGGTCTATACTACAGACCGAAGAAAGCGTTCACACGATCTCTGCCTGGGTTGTGCCTTTAATTGTTTGGCGTTCATCGTCACTAGTGTGATGGATTCTTCAGTGCAGACTCCCTTAGCCGCCCTATAGAAAGGGTCCATTTTGTTTGGGAACGGAAATTATCAAGAAATCAACTTCATCTCTTCTACTGGGTCACATATTCCTCGCGGAGAGCAACGAGAATGGGTGCTCAGTGAATCAGGGGGGGGGGCAAGCGGCGGCCCGGCTTCTCGATCGCTATGGCACTGAGCTTGAGCCTAAGGAGTAGGCTCAAAAAATGCCGAATAACGGATTCTGCGTAACCATGGATCATACTGCTCACAGCCTCGTTTCAAGGCTTAAGCTTACCTTAGCGCAGCCGCGCGGTTCCTTTATTGCTGAGCACCTAAGAGTGTACAATATCAGTATGAAAAAGAGCTATAAGCAGAGCTGAGCAAGAAAATTCGAGAGGCTCTAAAGCGTCCAAGCATGTTAAAAGCGAAGATGAGACTGAACAAGTAGCATCCAAATTCGCCGTTTGGATACTTCCCGCTAATGACTCTTATTCACCTATAGTCAAGCGTGAGAGCATATTAGGTGGTTTGGTTTGCGACTTTTCCAGCGGCATGTGGAGAAACAGTCATTGATAAGGGCTGGTGAAGTATTGAATTGGAGGAGAGAAACGAATGTTGTGATGCGAGGTACGTGACAAGCGAAGAGATTCTATGGGGCTATGCTGATCTGTTTGCTGATGCGGAGCGTACAAAGCGATGTGCAATGAATCGTTTAGTAAGACCGATTAACTGTTAAAGTGAGCCTTCGAGTTGGCGGCGCTACTGACAATGTCTGCTAAGCGCTTAAGCGAAGGATGGGATATCTCTTATATGTTCGGGTCCTCTTAAGCTCGATCCTAAATCAGATCTGCCTATTCGGCCTTCGAAACCCACCGATTCCAGCAAGTTGTTCCTACGGAGCACAAACGCTAGTTGCTTCAATTTTTGACATGCGGACCAGAGGCGACGCTCGTCCGAATATTTTGTCAAGCTTTCTTCGTAGTGAATTTTGCTCGTCCACATTGCTTCGCAATTGTTTGCCCGCTGTGCGACCTTCAACTAATGAGTAGGACTTTTAGGATTGCCCAGCACGAGATTACCTACCAAGGTTGTCGATTTGATTTCTCACGGGCAAAAAGTTTGCGATTACGCCAAGGGTAGTTTTGATTCGAAATTGAATCTGAGAACTGGTATCCCTGAAAGCAAAGCTGAGGGAGTAAACTTTTGCCGTAATTCTGTGACGCTATTCAAGCGTTGAAAGTGAAACTAGCTACAGCCGTGCTGCGCGGAATGATAACTAGTAAAATACAGGGTAGAGAAAAAGTAAGTGCCCCACGAAACACGTCCAAACTTTATTTCTTGTCCACAAAAATCAGAAAGTAATTAACGTTATAAAACATTGAACCAATGACATTTTTTCAACTGAAAGAAAAAAATAATTTGGAGTAACGATATCACTTTCTTACAGGCCAATTTGTTTCTTCAGCGAGTCAATGGTGCTGCGGAGATGCTCAAGGGATATTTAATTTCTTCTTTCGTAAGCAGGAGCAGGACTCATGTTTCTCTTTTATTGGTGGGCTTTTTCTTCGCGACAGCCATTAAAAGAAAAGAAAAACGGGCAAGTGGCAAAACATAGCAAGCAAAACGGACCCTGTTCTCGGTTGCATCTTCGTGCCCTATTTTCACCATGATTTCTTGACGCAGATGACGCCTTCCACGTTTTCCACTCAGAAATAAAGTTGGTATTCCTGCACACGCACGAAATTTTGGTGCGAAAAGTTTTCAAAAAAAGATTCAATGACAGAGCATGACTTAGTAGAAGTGGATGTTTCTCTTGCTTCATCCCTATCAAAAACGAGGAAGTGATCTTTGCCGCTCTTCTGAACTCAATATCATTTGAAACCCATAAAAAATTGCTGAGCTCGGCGAGAATTTGGTCCGAAATGCGGCCCGACTGCTTTGTTCAACAGTATCAGCGACGACCTCCTTTATCAAAGTTTAAAAGCAGTTGGAACTGAGGACATTTCTTGCTATAGCATAGAATAAATGGATAGCAAGAAATGACCTCAGTTCCTCCTGGCGACATCAACACTCAGCCCAACTCGAAGATCGTCTTCAACGCGCCGTACGACGACAAGCACACCTACCACATCAAGATCATCAACGCCTCCGGCCGACGTATCGGATGGGCCATCAAGACCACCAACATGAAAGAGACTTGGTGTGGATCCTGCCTGTGGTGTGCTCGACCCCAAGGAGGCCACCCTTATGGCTGTCTCCTGTGATGTGTTCGACTACGGACGTGAGGACACCAACAACGACCGTATTACCGTCGAATGGTGCAACACTCCTGACGGAGCTGCCAAGCAATTCCGTCGTGAATGGTTCCAAGGAGATGGTATGGTCCGAAGAAAGAACCTACCAGACAGCAGTTTTTATTACACTGTCCCCTTAAGAAGTAAATGTTACCACAATGAAAAAGTTTCGTGGAACAGAAGTGAAAAGTAATCGAAAAACATGAGGTGGAGTTATAATTTTGGGACGTCGGCCAAGTGGCCTTTTACAACAAAAATTATTAGAAAAAATTCCTGTGATCTCAAGTTGGAAATTGATGTTCATAGGCAATTTCGTATTTATATTTGACACATTGCACATTGGAGACTTTTTCTAAAACATCTAATTTGTGAGATTTTGGGAAATTCTTAGGTGGAATTATAATTATGGGACGCAGTGTACTTACGGTGAGAACGCTTGCCGGCAAGAGCTTGAATTCAGTGCACATCAGTTTCATGTTTGCTGTGAGTATAGCTGTATCAAATTCAGTGAGCCATCATAGCTAGGCGATCAAGAAAACTAGGTGAGTTTTGTATGTAGAAGACTCACCTGGTGCTCCTCGTTCACCCCACATTCCCATGTTACCAGGCGGTCCTGGAGGACCTTGAGAGCCCACATTTCCTGGTTCGCCTGCTTTTCCAGGTTCGCCTTTGTAGCCTTGTTGACCGGGTTCACCTGGCTCACCATGAAGACCTTTGATGCCCATCACACCATCCAGGCCGGGAGTTCCTGGCTCTCCTTAACATAACAACGATCATCGATCACAAAAACAATTGATTAGAAAAGTCAGAAAGTTTGCAAATTAGAAGGAATTGCTAAACATGTCAAGGTTTGCTAAAATTTTTATAATCCTTTTGAAGTTTCAACTGGAGTTAAAAAAAGGATAAAGTATTCGACGTTGATTCCCATTTTGAGATGCGCCACGCATTCCACTCCCATCCAGAATCATAGTGACAATTTGAATGCGACCTGGCCAGTACACTGACTTTGGCGCCAGCCGATATACAAGTCAGTGATTTTTCCTCCCAGACATGCCTAAGGCTGGTATCAGAGTGCGCGATCCGCCGCGACATTCGGAATCGCAAGTGCCCCATTTGAACATTTGAAACACTGAATATGAAACAAGTAGAATCATGAACAGTCGTCATTCAATCATCACTATCAAGCAGAAATGGCGGCGGGATTGGAGAGCACCTCGCAGTATTGATCGGGCACTCGATTTCTGCCATCCGTCGCGCGAATCGCGCGAATTGGCGACGGGTCGCGGACTCTGACACCAACCTTATGATAATCAACGGATTCCGGAGGAATGGAGTGCTTTGTGGAGTGCTAACTTAGTTGGGGGGGG